ACTAAAAGAATTGAAATCAAAACCAAATGTTTTGTTTTTGGAGGATTATGGCCATATAGACTTCTTGTTAAGCACAAGAGCATATGAAGATCTTTATGACAACATGATCAACTTCTTTAAGTCATGTGGAATGTCCAGCTAAAATTTCTACTTTTGGAACCCAAATCTTTAGCCAATACATGTATAGATGTTCCAAGAGTTTGTTTTAGGAGTTGTAACTTACGCAATAAACTTATATAGATGTGATAGAGGAGAATAAAGGGGTATAATATATCTCAACATCGATAATATAAAGTAAATCAATTTAAAGTAAAGTACCTAAAACTTGAACAAATCCTATCAAAGTAACATTAGTTATGAATCTACTTCAACTTTTTTAATTTATAATTATATGCTTAAAAGGATATAGATTGTCTGCAATTTCAACGAAGTTTAAATTCTTATTTTAATTCTTTAATGTACACTCCATTTTGTAGTTTTGTAAGAGATGGTGATTTTTTTTTCTTTCCTTTTACATGAGAACAACCACCTCCCATGCATTTACCACATGCACAAGTTTTTTCCACCAATAAAGTAGTTGCAATTTATTTGGATTTGTTAAAAGATTTCATGATATTTGCATTAGCTTTGACATTGACATTACTTGTTTTGCAACAACATTGAAACATTAATGCGTGGAAATGACGTGGGAGGGAACTGAAGAGTTATAATTTTTTTTCTTTTTAAAAAAAAAATATAAACTAATATAATGAAGGAAATAAATTTCAAAAATACAACTTTGGTAAGTACTTTTCCCATTAGTACCTTTTGGGTATAAACTCTAAGAAAACATGTTTTTTAAGAATGAGAATTACTTATCAAGGTAACGATCTTTTCGTTTTGTTCATATCTGAGTAACTTCATTTTTTATACACATTTAGGTAACAAACTTTTTGAAAATGTTCACATATAACTATTATGATCAGCTGTAGCAAGTTACAACCGACAATAATGGTCATATGTGAATACTTCCAACAAATTTGTTACCTAAATGTGTATAAAAAAACGAAGTTATGTAGATGTGAACAAAACGAAAAAGTAATTACCCTGATAAGTTAATTTCGTTTTTTATTAAGGCGGTCGATCATAATGTTTGCAATGTTAATATATTCAGTTAAATTTCCTTAAAACAGTATTTGTGACCATTTATGAGCATTTAAATTAGTCACGACATGCTGAGAACCATTTTTGTACACATATATGTAACAAACTTGTTGGAAGGGTTCGCATATGATAATTATGGCCGACTGTAACTTGATACAGTCGGTCATAATGGTTATATGTGAACACTTCCAACGAGTTAGTTACCTAGATGTGTACAAAAAAAATCGAAGTTACCCAGATGTGAACAAAACGAAAATGTAATTATCATGATAAATCACTTTTTCATTTTTGGGTTTAGGTCATTTTTTGTCATTTAACTTTTGGTTTTGTGCTCATTTGGTCACTTAACTATTTTTAAGTTTTAAAATGTCATCAAACTTTTGGCTTTGTGCTTATTTACTCACTTAACTTTTGGTTTGGTCACTTAACTTTTGGATTTGTGCTCATTTAGTCACCTAACTTTTAAAATTGTGCTAATTTAGTCACTAAACTTTTAAAAAAATTTAGGTGACTAAATGTTTAGTCACTAAACTTTTGGAACCCAAATCATTTAGTAACCAAACCAAAAGTTAAGTGACTAAATGAGCACAAATCCAAAAGTTTGATGACCTTTTAAAACTTAAAAAGAGTTAAGTGACCAAATGAGCACAAAACCAAAAGTTAAATGACCAAATATGACCTAAACCCTTCATTTTTACATATGTATTCATCATTTTATATTATAATTTATTTTTCCTATTGAATTTTTTCAACCACCAAATTAATCGAAAACTAACTATTCCATTAAAGAAATAAGTACTCATTTTCAATTCCATATTATATATATATATATATATATATATATATATATATATATATTAAAAATGGATGGACTTAACAACAATACTTTTTAATGACTTTAGACTCTGGCCATTACTCTTTGTGATACTGGCATTTTGGCCCCTGCTTTGAAAATATTTCTATTTTTTTCCCTTTCTGAAACAGTACCCTTTACCCATCTTCCCTTCACCGACTCACCGACTCTTTAAGTTCTAGATTCCTTCATCGCCCACTTCTCCTCTATAACCTATTTCTATTTGAAGTAGAGGGTTTCGATTCAACAACCATTCCTTTCGATTTTCTCCAAACCCACATCATACCTAGCTACCGACTGATCAACATCAACATTACCCACCGCCGCTTTGGATTAGGGTATGCTTGCTTACGTTTCTATCTAACACGAACAGTTGCCGGATCGGGTATTGTTCATCGGACCGGCCAACTCAAATACTTCTCATCCATTATATCCTTCTTCTACCAACTACGACCTTCCAGTTTCTTCCTTCCACCGATCCTCCTCCAAACCTTCTCCTCTCATTATTTTGAAAGAAATCGACACAGAGGCCATAAATCGAACCCACATGGGTTCTTGATTCCTCTATGATCACCACCAAAGAGTGCAACGTCGATTTTCCATCGGTTTTTCTATTCAATTAGGGTTCAGTGGGAAACAGAAAGAGGAATCGAGAGATTGAGAATGAGACGTTCGTTGTTTTCTCTTCCCAGCACCTCGATGTTACTTGATGCCTCTATTCCTCTCGTCACTCCTTTGCTTCGCAACACCCATACACTTTGAGTGCTGATAACTGCTGAAGGCGTCTTCACTGTCTGCTCGGTAAGATTTCCCATCCCTCCAGCAACATGGATTCATTGAAGTTTAATATTTGATACACCAGATGGAGCTATATATGCCTTTACTGTTGACCATAGGCTTGAATAAAACAACGAATACCGAGTAGAATGTCTTTTTTAAATTCCCAAACTTATTTCTTGATAAGAAATGTGGGTTTGACTTCAAAATGCAAGTTTTAGAAGGGAACGAGTAACATATCGGTTATGTCTTTCTAGATCCATCTGCAACATAGATGTCGATGAATTTGTCATTCCAATACCTCACGTGAATCAAGTGAGATTAAATTATCTCACATCTTGTAACGTCCCATTTTCACAACAACAAATTTTCCTTTTGATTAAGGTAAAACTTCTCAATTATAAAACCATTCAAGAAAACCCATTTATTCCCAATTACATTTGTTGAAAATCAGAGTATTATAATAAACGCAAACTCCTCAATGTTGTTGATGAGTGTGTACAGTCCCGCATTCGCCTTCTCACGATCACCGATAGAACCTGAAACATAAAAAACCGGGTACGCACAAATCTTAGTGAGTTTCCTCCAAAATACCCCATACAACAAACATACTAGCATGCATATCGGGTCCACAATCATCGTATTGGATTACCCTAGACCAATCAGTCATCGGACTGGAATGCCACCATGCAACGGGTCCACTCAGTCATCAGATTGGAATACCCTAGGTTTGTTGGCTTGCCGCCTCAACTCAACCGCTCATCCCAAGCCTCCGTGCCTACAGCTTGCAGCCGGACCGCACCATGTATATTGGCCTACAACAAACAGTAGGACTGCCTCAACCTCAACCACCACCATATGTCTACATATAAACAAAATAGGATCAAGTAGGCACATAATACATGCAATATCAATCATACATTTCGCTACTGCCTACTGGATCTATCACAACACACTACTCCACTACCAACTTCATGGGTTTTAGGCATAACAAAAACAAACTTAGAACTCTTAAGTGTGCATGCAACCTAAAACAAGATCTATGTTTTCACTGTTGAACCTATAACTAAGAATATCAAAATAAGAACCCTAGAAACCCTAGGTAATTTTCGAAAAACACAAGAAAGGGTTTAGGATTACATACCTTATTGTTATTATAGCAAATAACAATTATCCTTGACTTGTAGAACCTTTGGAAGCAAGCACCACAAATGTCGTGCCTCTAATGATTCACACCCAAGCTAGTAAGTAGGAGATTATGGAGAGAGGAGAGGGGAGAGCAAAAATTCGGCCTACCCTTGGGAAGAAAGTGATGGCCGAAAATCAAAGGCCTAGGGTCCCTTTTATAGTGCAACTAAGAAACCCTAGATAACCCTAGTTTGAATTAAATTATATTAATTCAAATTTGGTGATTATCTAGCTTCCTATTATCCACATGGATAATTCCATAAACCCTAAAAAGTCTCTAGAAACCGTCCACCCTCCTGGTGGAAGGTTTTGGAGCCTTTTGTTCAACTATTGAAGAATTGCACTTTAGACCCTACACTTTTAATTAATTCCATTAATCCCGAAATTAATTCCAATTAATTTTTGATCAATTATTAATTAAATATTACTATTTCTAATTAATATATTATTCTCATAATATATTAATAAATTATTTATTTTAATTTATTAATCAAATAATAAGTCAACCTCTCTCTCCAAAAATTATCCTGTCCAATTGCTAGGCTTAAGGGCAACACAAAATGACTGTGCTACTATCAATTCAAGTTTATACCAATTATAGTTATGAGCTTAGACACCTAATCCACCACATCTAACCTCCATGGAATGCGTAACCATAAGCAACTAGAGGTGAGATAGCCACCCGAATAGATGATCCCACTCTAGAGCCACAACCCAACACGGAATAAGAAAGAAAGCCTAGATCACAAGTTCTCAGACTATCCTACGTGACTACATACAACCCCTAGAGCAATCCCCTAGATGATAACCAGTCTACTGGCAGTTTAACAAGCATACCACTACTACGACATCCTATCATAGAAGGATATATACATAGATCTAGCAGATCACTACAACACATCAACATACTATACATAAGGATACATGACCAACAATCCAAGGAATACATAACCATATATACTTAGAGGTCAGATAGATATATGGATAGGTGAACCTACTGTAACATCCCAAAATTCAAGCCCAAAAATTTCATTTTTAATTTAGTATTTCACAATTTAGTTTACCAAAACATTTCCCATGCCATGTCATTTACAAAAAGAAACATAACAAAGTGTCTGAAAATCATATCGTCAAAAGTGAAATAAATCAGAGTACATCCCCAAAAAACTCCATGCGGAAACCATGTGTGTGTGTGATGCGCCGCTACACCGCCGGCTCCTTCCCCTTAGACGAAGAGGTACCTGAAACCAAAACTAAAACTGTAAGCACAAAGCTTAGTGAGTTCCCCCATCATACCACATACCATATAATCACATAGCATACATAGGCAATTCTGGGCGCCCGTCCTACCCATGTCAAGCCATTCTGGGGTGCTGACCTACCCATGTCAAGCCATTCTGGGGTGCTGACCTACCCATGTAAGGCTATTATGGGGTGCCGACCTACCCTCCAGTCTCTCAACCGAACACGGGGACTATTTCACCCCCTACTGCTAACACATAACATCATATCTCAATCATGCTGTCAGACATATCTGGGGTGTCCGACCTACCCGCTGGTCCTAGCGACCGATTCGGGGACTAGTCCCCTCCTACTGATACTATCTCACATAACATAGCAAACTAGCTTAGTCTCATATCAAGCAACTAGCATACTCGCATATCAAGCAATAGCAGACCAGATAATTATCACAAAGACAATCGTCTCAGCTAAACAACTACTAGTGGGCCGGCCTTGGTGCCTTAGACCCACTTTTACTGGAAGGTAACTCACCTCAATGTCGCGTAGTGTCGGAACTGTCCTCGGCGTGAAGGTCGGCTCTCCTCGACTCCTCAATCCCTACACGACAACCCTCAAGTCATCAAACAAACATACAACCCTAACCAGGGTCAACTCAAGTCCAGTCAAAGTCAACATTGGTCAAAGTCAATACCCAGTTGACCTGACTCGCCGAGTTGGTTTACCAACTCGTCGAGTCCATGCTCCACTAACCCGATCCAACCCCGACACCACTCGTCGAGTCTAGCGAGTACTCGTCAAGTTCTCCTTCATTCAAACCATCGGGACCATCTTCATCCGACTCGCCGAGTTCTTTCTTCAACTCGGCGAGTTCATCTCCCTCATAAGAACGTGTCCAGTCTATGACTCGCTGAGTTGTATGAACAACTCGTCGAGTTCATCTTCAAAGGTTGGGAGATTGCCTTGGACTCGCC